TATATATCTTTACGAAAATATGTAAGCTATTCAAGTACAGTTATAAAATTTTCAACTAAACAATTAATCGCAATTTATTCAACTTTTCAAAATTTCAAAGACATTTCTTGAGAAGTTTTTTTGTAGTTACAATAGATTTATTTCAAGCAAAAAAGTGCATACGTATATTTTAATCGATTACTTTTTGAGTGAAAAAAAAATGCTTGTACGATTATTAAAACAAAGTTTTCGCAACGTTTAGTTTAAAATTATTCAACAATGCATTTCTACGTGTATAATTTATTTTATGTAACTTTTTACTTGACGGGACACTTTAAAATAAGTCTTCTAATTAATGTCTCTGAAATATGTTACCAAATAATAAAATTATTCTTTAAATAATTTCATCAAATTGAATTTATTTGATTTGCTCAAAAAATTATTAAAAATATAATTCATTGGTATAGATTACTCTTCTTTACTTACTTATTAAATGAAATTCACCGTTACATAAGATCGTAGGAAAAGATTAAATATTTCTTTGAAAATTTGTAAGAATATTATTTACAAATTCTAAAATTCTAAATTATTGTTAATTCATACTCTCAACCTTGTGCGCAGCAACTGTACTGCATGAGCTGACTTTGGTACCGAGATAAACTATACTTCTTACATTGAAGTCATACAAGATACTTAACTTGTTTTGTTCACGAGTCCTCCAACAGATATGTACTGCCAATTGGCCTAAAATACCATCGAAATATGCTTGTGTAAATATCTCTATAAATAAATATTGTCGAATTTTAATACTAAATATTTAATATATTTATCTTGTTACTTTAAACTAATAATGGAAAATATTCTCATCATTGCTATTACTACTAAAATCGTATACATTTTTATATTTTTAATCCTTTTTTCATTGTTCAGTAAACTTTTGTACTTTAAAACTGACTAATAATATGTTGATTGTTTACATTCTTTCGTTTCTTTACTAATAAAATCGAATTTTATTTTTGATTAACGCCAATTACTAACGTTTGTCTAGTACAAAAATAAAAATTGTATTGTAGGATTAATTTTTATTTTTATAACGTGTATTTTTCTAAACAATTTTTCAAAAAAATAATTTTCCCATGTTGGACGTTTTATATAGTGTATGAAGTCGTTGCACTAGTATCGAAAACTGCTGCTTAGTTATTTGAAAGTTAGTATACATGAAATAAATTTCTTAAACCTCAGTTTTTTGAATTTCCTAATTAACTATAAAACATTGTCACGAGAACCTAGCCTATTCGTGATCTGATTGATTGGAGCTTGCAGCCGATCAAGTGGTAAGATAATATATTCTAAAGAGGCTATTTATTTCACTGTTTTTAATTGTAATAAACTAATTCATCAAAGTTTGGAGATTCGTATTGAATCAAATATATAGTAAAAATAAAAATTTGACACTAAACGTTATCATAAAATGCGACTTTCTCACCTTATCTCACCTTATAATATTTTTAATTTCTTAAAAACATACAGAAATTCGTATCTTGAAGAGAAAAAATTAAACCACTTCCAAAATGTAATAGTAATCCAAATAGTATTCCAAAATGAGATTTTTGGTTTAAAATGTATCTTTTAATAATATTTAATATGGTGCAGTACGTATCTAGGACCGAAAAGTAAAGAATATTCTAGATCATATAATTATTTACATGGCAAATGTTTCCCGTTCGTGGGTGCTGGTAGGCGTAAATGTTCACGACTCGGCTTTGTGCAAGAAAATAATTATGTACTGAATATTTAAATAAAGGCTTATAATACGTGGTTCCACACTTTATCACATTATAAAATTGCCGCATGGAGAAACATGTATTATTTCAAACTTACCCCTATGCCTGTGACCCAGCCAGAACCAGCTGGATTGTCATCTGTAATACCGATCCTTCGACACACCAGTCCAGCTCCCGACACCGCCCAAACTTGTCCAGGAATGTGGCCAACTGCAACATGCCTAAATCCTTGTTTGGCATTTGCTACAGAGACGTCTGTGAAGGAAAAAAAAAAAAAAAAGAAAAAAAAACATATTCACATTTCAAATCCATTTCTATTGTAAAAATTAAGTGAATTAGTACAGAAAAGAAGAATAAAAGTGTTAAAAGAAAAATAAAATAGACTACGAACAGCTTAGCAGTTCTGCAGAAAAATTACGTATAGGCGAAGGTATCGAAAGTTCAGTGTTTACGGTTTCAGTGTTAACACCTGTGTTAAATAAAGAATCAAAATAGAATTTGTATCGAAACAAGGAATGTCGCATGTATGTAGATTTTGAAGCATTCATGAATGATATTCACCGATATGAATGGGATCGTTTATCATTGAAGTTATTGTTTGCCAATGTGTGCCTTCGGGAAATACGTTTGGCTGAATTTCGCGGCGAACCGATAACTTTCCCAAACTGTCCAGGGCCCACACTGCGTTTGAACCAACTGCAATTTGTTTTATGTGCATTCCTTGTGGTGGCTCTACATTTTGCCAAGATTCCCCTTTGAAAAAAAAATAAAATAAAATAAATAAATAATAATAATTGCAAGATAACGTTTGTTATTCGAGTTTTACAATTAATGTGATATTTTTTACCTGTTGGTTTGCTACGAGTAACCCCAAACCTCCAGTAAGTCGATCCATTTTTGCCAACAGCCCAAACTTGTCCATTAGGACCAATTGAAATATTGATCAATGGTTGATCGCTGGGAATATGTTCCCACGAAACACCCTGAAATAAATTATCATGTAATTTGTCTTGAATAAGATGACGATTCCGACATCTTTTTGCATTAAATGTACCGTTAAGCAAAATTTGGAAACACCACGTCGAAATAATGCCTCTCCATTTGTAGCAACTGCCCATACGTGAATAGGTGAATCTGAATCTGGATCATCAGAGGTCTAAACACGCATTTGAAATTTTATTTTGCTTACTAAAAACATTTAAGAATATTTTTTGCTAAAACAACGCGCATTACATACAAATAAGGACACGTCGACTAATTTGGTATTTCCTAGTTCTTTCCAAGGCCCGTAAGTGGTTAACTGGCATTTTCTAAACCATCTTCTTCGCCTTACGTAATCCGTGAAATGTTTCTTTCCATGATATTGGGATGGAAAATCCGTCGCGTATTGCCAACCATCGCGATCGACTCCTCCTGGAGTATGAAAGTCCAGTATCCACTCGGACACCTAAAATACGTGCACACACTATATTTTAAGAATACATCACTTAATACTTGCTTGAACAAAAAAAGTTCGGTAAAAAATAATCGTTACCCATTGCCAATGGCAAGACAGTAATTTTGTATTTTCTCGTGTACGCTTCTGCCGTCCGGAAGCATCGCTCCACATGTACCTGTCCGTTGGCAGGCCGTGAGATGTGTAGCCAGTCACTGGATTCCAGCGCTGATTTTCGTAAATGTAATAATTATGGGTATCTATCATCGGATTGACGTCAGTATTACTAAAATCTAAGCCTAAAGACAAAAACATAAAATAACAAAGGATAACAACAGGAGAGAAAAAAATTAATCGCCTACTTTACCTTTTAAAAAAGTGCCACCCCAACCGCCTGTATAAACCCAAGGTGTGCTGTCGTAAGCGATACCCCAAGTCACTCCCGAATTGCAAGTTTCAACTTTCTTCAAGTGTCCTCCCATTTGTCTCCAGAACATTGATATTGGCTCGATAATCACCTAAGTAAAAACGTTTTGAAACAGCTATTGTGCAGAGAGAATAAAAAAAAAAAAAAAAGTGAACGCAATGAGTCAACTCACAGATTTTGACTTATAAATTACGCTGCACAACGTCATTTTTCCTTTGATTCGCAAATGAGTTACATTGTGTGGTGGTATTCTGTGACAGAAAAACGTGAACTCGGTATTATTAATGAAAATCCGATATCCCCGCTCTTCGCAATTGATTATCAGAGAAAAATCCGAGCCAGCTCTGAGCGGACTTTCACCACCTCTCTCCTCGTCACCCCACTGATTGTTCTGATACGTGTTTCTGACGATCACACTTTCACTCAGACGCGGATTAAAGTGAAAAGCAACGTCGTTACTCTCTATGCTTTTGTTGTATTTGTTGGTGGTCCACGAGAAGCAAACAAAATTAAACGATATTCTGGAAAAAACATACATGCTTCAAAAAGATATTCAAGAAAATCTTTTCAAGTTTAATTTATATTCATTTTACCTGTCTGCATCATTATGAATGCACACTGACGCGTGTAAAGAGCTTCCAGGTCCAAAACCATTGTGTAAAATACTTTCAAAGGGCAAACTTTTTCCTGCCACGTCGAGTTCTTGACTGTACAAGCCTTCTAAATACTGATTTTCCTGTTGATAAATATAGTATACGTTTTTGGTTTTATTAAAAGATTCAGTTCCATAAAGGACATGTTAAAGTTGTACCTCTGCAAGAACTGGGTCGTACACGAAAACATCACCCAAAGCAGTTGTAGCCCAAATAGCATTCGAACTCGGTGGCCCAAATGCATTATTCATTTGGCAAGATACTAGAATCAATTTTAAATTTTGTAGTGATTTGAGAAATAAAAAATCTTGTTGATCTGAGAAAAGAATATGCATAGTTACCAGAAGTGAGATGTGCTATCCAATCTTCAAGTTCTGCATCACTGCCAAATTGTAATCTCAGAATTTTCGACTTATTTAATCTAGGAGTATAAATGGCTAGACGTGGACTGCCCGGTTCGCTACAGCAAACCACACAAACTATCTCTGATATGGGAAATTGAACCTGATAATCATAATTTTACGAGTTACAGTAGGAAATAAATTGTGTCGAATAGAATGAAAATAATCAATATTGAATAAAATTACAAGAGCAGTTGCCCCATCAGGATTTAATATTGTCACAGTGCCAGAATCCAATGAACCAGTATCGCTACTTATCCATTCTAGTTCTACAATACATTCTTCAAAAGTAGCTGAACCTTTTAATTTACATTTGGCTTCGCCATTTTTTACCCACGAGGATCTAAAAAAGGATAAAAACTGTTGTTTTTTTAAACCATTTTTTTGTTGTTTTTATTATTTGGTAGTAAAAACTTACTAACTTTTCAATGGCTTTTTCACACAGCGAGAAATCAAAATCAACATTTTTCATTCTACTTTTTAATTCACTCAAAATATGCACTCTCCATGGTTCGGCTGTTTCACCTTGCGACGAACCATTTGTTTCTAATATCCTGTAAAAATTAACATTGCATAGTTAGCACACCTTTATGCTTGCATTGAAAAAATAAAAATACATTTTACACATTCTAAAGCTTAAGGTATAGTTACCATTTTGGCGGATTATTTGGGTCCAGTAAACACGCACCAGCGTCAACTCTGCACCAAAGCATATCACATTCAGCCCAATAAACAGCAGAATTACTTTCGTCTTCCCCAAACACACCCGTGTCTCCAGTCAAGTCAGGGTCAAATATACTGCCATCAGTTTCTGGATTGGCCTCGGCACCAACCATCGACCCGACTGAGTGTACTGGACTCCATGACCCAGGATTGACCTGAAAATTATGTTTACAACCTTTTTCAAAAAAAATTTCTTTGTAAAGGAAGCTTGAAATCGCATTTACATTACGACCCAAACCGAAATTTCCCTACTTGCTCTTGTGGCATTTGATTATTCACTTATTTACCTTAACTGTGCTGCCCATTCCCTTTCCAGATACAATTATGGACTCTCCACTCTTATTTAAAGTTTCATTGGATATCGTTATATTAGCTACACTATCGTTTACATCATTGAGCTCGGAAGATCCTGCAGAACTGTGTTTATAGAAGAAAAAAAATATTACACACATGGAGTAAATAAAAAGTTAAATTCTTCATTACTCTGAAAACTCACCTTGTACTTTGGCTTTGATTAGTTATTGATTTATTTGACTTTTGAATACTATTTTCAGGTAGCTCGTGATGTTTTTGAAAAAGTTTCAAGGAAGTGGGTGCAGGGGCTGATCTCGATTGATCTTCCCATTCCCTGATTAAAGCTTCACTAGTGCTCAAAGGCCTTTGATTTTGCTACCCAAAACATCGTAAAATCAAATTACTACTTCCAAAATCAACATTTATAACACGTAATTTTATTTCGACTCACCAGAGAACCGTAAGCATGACGCTGTTGGCGAGGAGTACCACAAATACTATGTCTGTTGCTAGATAGGCTGGCATTGCTACTCGCTCTACTCAACTGAAAAGGCGCGTTAATCGCTTTCCATTTTTTACCAGTCAATTCCGATCGCGTAATACCAGTACGATAATACAAACACCTGTCTTCATGTCCAATAGCCCAAACCTGTGGGATTCAAGTTTTACATTAATACAACTTAAGAGCTCCAAAAAGTCAAACTACAGCCGCTCCACTTACCTGGTCGTTTAGAGCTACAGAAACTAGTATCATTTTAGTGGACATTTCAACCCAACCAGTTCCAACAGCTAGCTGTTCGCACACACCTCCCATTTCACCTTTTATTCCTTTTCTAAACCAAACACTACCCTCGTGTGTTACGGCCCACACAGCATCACAGCCAACACTAATTTGAGTAAGACGCAATTCGGGTTGTGGTGGCTCCACTTCAATCCATTCGTCTCCTTTAATTCAAAAATCCGCGAATTCAATTGGAGGCTTTATTATATTTTTTTTTTTCAAATACGAAAAATATTTCAAATACCCATTAGATTTTCCCTAGTGACTCCAGTACGTACAACAGCTTTTCCATTCAATAACGTCAGCCAAACTAATCCTGTTGCTCCAACACTGACTTGAGCCGCTTCGTCTCCTGAGTTCATTTTGATCTCACTCCATCGTAATCCTTCAGGAGATGTTGTACTAACACCAACTCTAAACATTACCTGCATACAATGTTTTGTTAAATAAACCTTTCATTTAATGCTAATCATAATTTAATTTAATTGTATTTAGTTAGACATTTTCTACTAGTAGAATTTATCAATGCACATCAATTTATGCATTGAAACAAAAATCTTACCCTCCCGTGAGCAGTTACTGCCCAAACTATAAGTCCTCCTGGATTGCCTCCTGGTGTTTGATGACCTCCAATCGAAACGTCTATAAAAGGTTCCTGAAAGTAATTCGTTAATACAGTTTCCATAAATAAGTTTTTTAAAAAGTGTCAATTAAAACAGTATTCATACTTTTGTTGCATCCTTGTGGAGAGGTGCAATGGCGCACCAAGAATTCATAGCGCTGTAGCGACGGTAACGTACCCATTTCCTTCTTCTAACACACGATTTCCATTGTTTTTTTGGAGTGTACGTAGCAGGAAAGTCCACAGCATAAGTCCAGCCCTGTTTAAAACATGTAACAGATTGTTATTAATTGAACTAATGGTAATTTCAAAAAGATTCGTGGTTTTTTTTTTCCTTACATCATGATCTAATGGTTGTCCATCTAAGGTTGTTTCGATACACCAGTCACCTTCCCACTGCCATGCCATGGATGGTAATTTAACTTTGTCACGGCTACGATCGACCGTACCATCTTGATTGGAAAAGTGATATCTGTCTGTTGGCAGTAACTTTCCACCAAATCCTTCAATAGGTAACCAACGCTAAAACAATTATCAAAATATTATAGTACAGAGCATAATTAACTGACTTTACTACATCATAACTTATTTACCTCATTTTCATAAGCTTCTTCTTTGATCCTTATTGGAATATCCAGGCCATGCACGTGTACATAAACTTGTCGATCGCTCCCAATGGCCCACATAAAATGAGGTGCAGCAGACATTTGTTTGAACTCAAGGCCCACGTACATAAACTCTCTCCACATTGTTCCAGTAGTGGAGAGATAAAAAATTCTGCCTTCATGGTTGATGGCGTACAGGTTTGAGCTTGGCATCTTGATCACTACTTTGATTGATGAAGTATTGATAAAATTGGTCGTGTAAAATGAACTTTCATTACAAAATTAATAATGTAATCCACAAGTGAGACCTAACAATACAATGATTCATGCATAAAAGAGAATTGGAGAACAATAACTTTTAATATTTTTTATTAAAAATAAACAAGTCATACATTATTATTGTCCATTTTAGAAATGTACAAGATTAAGAAATGATTTTACAATAGTGCAGTACGTATTTTTAATGAAAAAGAAGCAGTTATTTAAACAAGCTTCAATTATTGATTGAATAAGACAAATATAATCGTTAACCAGAGGAGAAAAAATTGGTGAATAGTTAAAAAAAAAAAAATACCTTGTTGACTGCTGTCACTTTATGGTGTCCAAATTTTTTCTCTCAGAAAAAAAATTAGTTTAAATAGTTGATTTTTTTTTCTACTCCAAGGTTACAGAAGTATTAAAATGTGAGAAAGAAACTACACACACGCTCGCTGTAATGTACAGCACACTAATCATTCACCAATAAAATCCGTTAAAAATCGTATTGTTCCCCCTTGATATTTATCAATAACTTTTATTGCATTTAAATGATCCATAATTAGTGATATCTCGAGAGACTACCTGCGTGCACCTTAGCCCTGATGTATTTTGATGTTTTGGATTAAGGGGAAGACATGGGGGCGGGGGACGGGGAGGACTTGTGTTTTAACTCAAATGGTAAATAAAATCAGCTGATCTGATACCTGATATCAACATCAGAGAGAAGTATAATGTTATCCTGCACAGATGGCGCATGATTTTGTTTGCTTACGTATGTATGTATACGTTTAACTCCGACTCCGATTTCTCCAACTTGATCCTTGATTTTTATTCCTTGATCTCTCTCGATCAGTAATATTATCTTCTTGATGTTCTCTTCTTCGAGTTTTCGAATGCATTAATTTTACAAAAAAAAAAAACAAAAAAAAAAAAATGTTACCAAAATCTATTTGGCTGTTGTTTCTTGGATCGGCAGTGTACATGCTGTATTCGAGTGATTATTACTTTTACGTCAAAAGTTATGTGAAACATTACTATGCCGAGGCTCTACGGCTTTTATACGATGCCAACAGTTCCAATGAAATTGTTCTGGAAAACGGAGAGATTTTATTTACCTCAAGTGCACTTGAAAAGTATACCGATTTAGATAGTGGTGGCTTGTACTTATCGATCTTGGGCCAAGTTTTTGATGTAACAAAGGGAGAAAAACATTATGGTCCTGGTCAATCTTACCATGCGTTTACAGGTTTGTAAGGAAAACATTAATGTTTAGAAAGTATTGAAAGTAATTGTAATGACATTTTATCAACGTAGGACGTGATGGTTCTGCGGCATTTATCACAGGAGATTTTACCGAAAGTGGCCTAACGGATGATGTTTCGAGTCTTACAAATAAGCAAATTCAATCTATAATGACTTGGCTGGAGTTTTATAGGAAGACATATGTTTACAAAGGTAAAGGTCCAACCATCTCTTAATTTGAAGTATATTTTATCTTTTCCTTTTGACGAAATACACGGTGTTCTCTGCAGGAAAATTAGTTGGTAGGTATTACGATAAAAATGGAAAACCAACTAACGAAAGAAGCATTTTAGAAGAAAGAATACAAATCGCTAAAAAGAATGATTTGAATGAAGACCAAGAAAAATCAAAATTTCCACCCTGCAACGTTGAATGGAATCCAGACAGTGGAACTAGAGTGTGGTGCACAAAAAACAGGTAATGGAAATTATTTTCATTTACGATTCACCACAATGAGCCAAGAAAAGTTATTTTCCTTTTTTTTTTTATTAGTGGTGGTATCGCGAGAAACTGGATAGGTGTACCACGGTTATTCTACACAGAGCCAGGATCAAAAAAACATAGGTGTGCCTGCGTCAATACAAATAGCAAAGACTTTCAAGAAAACAAAAATATGTTTAAGACTTACAGTGGCTGTGCCGATAACGAAACGTCTTGTATTTTTAAAGTAACTACGTGATTTTCATTAAAAGTTTATAATTGTTCATGTTTGCACTAAAATTTTTATAAATTTCTCACAAGTGTACTTAATAAAAAATTTTTTAGGCATATTTTTCTTTTAACAAACAAATACAACTCACTTTTTTTATAGAACATGTGTTTATATCAAGTTTCGTACTTAAGAACTAGTAAAAAATTCATATGTATATATATGTTTAATAAAAAGGTTTTTATAAAAACCACTTTCAAGTTATTTTTTTCATGTAACGTGATAATTCTTACTTAATCAATGAAAGTGGACAAAGAGTAATAGCATGACAAATATACGAAGGATAAATAACAATGTAAAAATTGATTCATAAAAACCCTACAAATCCTTATTTTTACTGATAGACTTACTTATCCAGATAGACTTCTACTTATTTATAGTGCATAACTAAGACTATCAGACTTCTTGTGGGTTTTGAACAGAAACATCTTTTTGCAGTCCATTAAGCTTATTCAGCAAAGTGTTCATAGAAACGTATTTTCTTTTTTTAAAATTTAGTTTGGAACCAAAGATTTTTTTAACCTTTTCTTTCCGCTTTTTTATCTTTGATCTCGTTGGTTCTGTTGTGAACTGGATCATTCTTTTGAACCTCTTGGAACTCATATGATTAGGAGGTGGAGTCAAGTCTTCTTGCTCTTCGAAAATAGTTTCTAACGAATTGGTGTGCTTTTTAATAGTCTTATCAAGATAATAACCTTTGATCTGGTCTTCCGTCTCCATTTCTTCATAACTCCTTTTTCTCGGTCGCAAACTGCACCTACAAAATAATTTTAACGTATAATGCCATAAGATAATTATGAGGAAGAAAATTATGCACTTTTTATGAACAAGATCTACCTTCTGTTGAGATTTATATCGTCAAGATCTCTAGGTTTCCGCTTTCTCAAAGACCGCCTTTGTCCAAGAGTCGGAATAACATCTTGCTCAGGCATGTCCACAGCTAATTTTTGTAAACTGTCAACCACATCGGGCAAATTAACCTCTTGGGCAGTATTGTTAACATTACTGGAAAACAAAAACAAGGCATCACTTAGATGTTTTCGCAAGAAACAAGGCAAGGTGTATCTTAGTGCTTCAAGTAATCACCACACCGCAAACTATAAAAACAAAAGCTTACATTCTTATTGTAGAACCTCCGTCCATTATGTAGATTCAATTTTGAGAAAGAATTGTAAAAAAAAAGTTCCTCGACGAGAGAAGAAAAATTCTCAAGGATACCTTCTCATTATCGATCGAATCTTTTACTTGTAACGAAACGTGAGTTGTACTTAAAAGATCTGTTTTTGTAAACAATTGCTGCGTTTTATGTAAACTGAAACTGTACAAAATATTTAATATTCCTTTACTAACACTACGCATCTAACTGATCTAACCAGCTATATCTTATTAAGTTTGCGGAATTCGGAACTTCGGAAGGAATCATGAATCATGAATTATGAGTTAATGGTAAAAGGTCTAAATATTGTAGTTTTGTAAATATGGTCGATTTTGTAAGCCATTTAACTTTCAATTTTCTATTTATGAGATTAGTTGCGGCTGGTTTATATGTGGATTAAATGGCTCTACTGTACCTAAGTTGTAATAATTATTCGGATCAGCGCCATCTAGCGGTATTCATTTTTGCCCGAAAAGTGGCCTCTAAAATTCTGAAACCGAGCTTTAGCGCGTAGAGCCATTTAATCAATTATAAACCAGCCGCAACTTATGGTGAAGGTATACAATGAAAAAATAATGATACATGTGTTTTTGGCGGCAAGTTAACAGTTTATTTTCTACCAAAAAATCGACCTCCTATGTATTTATACTTTTGAAGATAAATTTTTGAGCATAAGATAAATTGTTAACTTGCCGCCAAAAACACATGTATCATTATTTTTTTATTGTATACCTTTATCATAAGTTGCGGCTGGTTTATAATTGATTAAATGGCTCTACGCGCTAAAGCTCGGTTTCAGAATTTTAGAGGCCACTTTTGGCCAAAAAATAAAGACCGCTAGATGGCGCTGATCCGAATAATTATTACAACTTACAGTAGAGCCATTTAATCCACATATAAACCAGCCGCAACTAATTTCATAAATAGAAAATTGAAAGTTGACACTGCATGTGCTGTTTGCGGCAAGTTTACAACATATCTTTTATTCAAAAATCGACCTCCAAAAGTATAAACATTCTACTTTTGTTATATGGCTATGTAAAATCGACCATAATTTTTAAAATTTCAGTACTTTAGACTTTTTACCATTAACACTATAGGGTAGGAACATGCCATACCAATGGCCGACCACGCAGTTACGCACTGATCTTGTGAGTTGTGAATAAGTTTTTGTGAAATGTGAATTTGTGAAGTGACTCTGTGACTGCAGCGCGATTGAGGGTGGTGCCGAAGCAGATGGGCTGCCCAAGATTTTTATCACTTTTTATAAGTATTTATCAGCTTTGATCCCTAATTCTATTCGTGCAGTATAGCTCATTGTTAAAAAATCCACAGTACAGTGCAGCGTCTGCAGCGGATCAACTGCAGAAAGAATTGCAACAGTTCTCTTCTGCGTCATATCTACTTATATTAAAAGCTGTCATATCAAAGGCAGCTCCCCTTTCAAGTAATAGGTGCCTATATTTAGGTATATTATTTTTTTCATCGCATCGTCCAATTAAAATAGTGCAGTGTGTATTTAAAGCCAAAGCCTCAGGTAGTCGGGTGTGAGCAACAGCGACGACGACTCCGTTTTGTTTTGTATTTGACTCACGTTAGGCACAAAAACAACTCAAGAAGAGATAAAACAGAGGTTGTGAAAAAAATGTCAAAATCTGATGGTAGGAAGATCAAGGACACGTCGGGCACGGGCTTCCGGAAGATCGACGTCGACCAGTTTGAGAATCATTTTAAGGAGGAGGACCCGGACGGCACGCTCACCGGACCCGACGAGAACGAAATTCTCGCCTTCCTTAGCCAATATCCTTTTTTACGTACTACATGATCACAGTGTATATTGTGTGTACATGTGACATTTATTTTATTATTTCTCTCAAAAATTGTTTTCTTTAACGCTTTTCTTAAGGGCAAACATGCCGAGGCACTTATCTCGGTTCTCAAGTCGGCACCGCTTGGCAGCAAAAACCAGCAAGTTAAGGTATAATAACCTCAATGTCCAACCCAGTTAAGCCTAAAAAGGAAGCTTTACTTGTATCATGAGTCAGACTTTATATTTTTAATCTCTTTGTGCTCCCATACCTACTTATGAGCACTGTATGGTCAAGATTTCGATTTCATGATTATTTCATTTTTTTACTAGATTTGTTTTAACTTCATATAAAAAAACAAAGGAGTAATTTTGTGCTTTGTAGTTGTTGTATATAGCCAGCAGAAAATACTCCATCAAAATGTTTTATCTGCATGAGTCATAATGTTTGTTTTGTCATTTGTTATCAGTACCTCTGTAGTAGTATTTAGACTTTGTGTGTCATCCAAGTTTTTGAATACTTACATGAGCAATGTTATCGTTTCAGGATAATGCAAGGAATTTGACACAAAAAGTATTACTAAGTATAAAAACGAACCAAATGGAAGACTGTATAGCACAGCTAGACCAGAACCTTATGGATACTCTGATGAAGTACATATATCGAGGTTTTGAATTGCCAAGTGAAGGTAGTAGTGGACATTTACTGGTGTGGCACGAAAAACTGTATAATATCAGTGGAGTTGGCAGTATCGTCCGAGTGTTTGCTGATAGTAAAAGAGCTTGAACTGCAAAAGTGTTTGCAAATTGTCCGATTGACCTTCCCATTGAGTGTGTTACTTAGTAATGCAAGGGATGTAGATAGCTAAGTCATTAACATTTTTTCAATATGAAAACTGCAGTGCATTTATATAAAGTTGTTATCAATAAAATAATTTTTATTTCTTCTTATTAAACGGAGACTGTACATTTATCACTTTCTTCTCAACTCATTTTGGAATGCAGTATACCCTTTATATAAATAACAATCAAAGAAACAACGTTCATTTTTTAGTAAATTAATTAAACATAT